CTCCCGTCGCCTTCTTCTGCCCCCGAGAAATGTCGAAATTGTTAAATTTTAATTCTATGGGGGGAGAAGGTAAGATAGTAAAATAAGTTCAATTTCAATTCTAATGGCATAATATGACCTCTAATTTTCCACCCCGATGAGATGCCTTGAATTTCCGTTTCGCTGTTTTTGTAGCGTTGAAACAGGGTGACGAAGGTAACGTTAAAGTTCGATCTGTGGGATTAAAGGTTCGAGAGAGGAGTTAAAAAGTATCTCGGTATCGTCAAAGTAGGTTTCTGTTAGTCAATGGGTCGTCTAAAGAGGCGCGATTAATTCTTAAGGGTAAGCAGAGTAGCGTCGGAATTTCGACACGAGGCTCGGGGAAAGCGCGGGGGATTTTTACGGGCGCGTGAATTTTACGCGAATGGTTTAATCGAGTAATTCGAACGCGCCACTCGCACGCTCTTGGCGACGCTTTAACGCCGCGCGCGATATTTCACGAATTGCCCGCTTCGGCCCGCTTTTCACCGGTGATCCGAATTAAAGTTCCATCAGGCGTGACTTACGACGCGAAGGAGAACGAACGCGCGTAACCGATGCCCGCGACGAGAAAGAGAGAGAGAGAGAGAGAGGAAAAAGGGAGGAAAGTTCCTCTTTTGTAAGTCCGATTCTGTGTGTTCCTGCGAAAATGGCACTTGTTACAACGCCCGCTCCCTGACGACGGCGCCGCTCACCTCCGGTCGCTCGGTACTTAGCGAAACGAGAATTTAAAGTGTCATCGGGAGGAAGTCGCTCGCGCAACATGACGAACGCAAACGATGACACTCGTTGGTCAACGTTAAAATGTGTGTCCCGCGCGGGAAAGAATTTGGTTCGTATTTACCTGACGGTGAGCAAACCAAGTGCGTTCCGGTTCGAAGGAATTTCTGCTTCTTACGAGCCAAGCTCGGTTATTATCATTCGGAAATTCTGGTGCCCTTCGACCGAAACGCGGTTCGGTTCGCTCATAGTCGTCAGGTAAATTGAATCAAAATCCAAGAAAGGGAAATAATTTGTCTGTCAGTCTGTATGGACGGGAAAACGATCTGTTGAGAATACCGATCTCCGTTCGCCGAATATATTTTCCTGAGTTTCTTTCACTCTGCAAATTATTTCGTTGAAAGGTCAAAATTAATAAATACAGGAATATGTTACCTCGTTCTAAACAGCGAATCGTGCTGAAATCGCTTCACTGCAAGTTATCGCTCGTTTTCCCCGCTCTGAGACTCAACGTAGAACTAAAATCTAGACTCCAGAGGCTCCGAATTATACGCAGACCAAATTATGCGTTCCGCCTGCGCGGTTACAAACGATATAAAACGAATCCCTGTAAGAAAATCAAACGTAAAATGAAACGAATAATTTCTCGGTGAGAAAATTACCTTTCGTTTCAAATAAAAATGTTTTATCTGAGCCGAAGATACACATTCGTCTAACGATCGTGCTTAACCGAGATTAATTAATTCTTCCGTCGCCATGACGAGACGATTTGTTCGGATGCGATCGAGTCGATGAAATTTCAAGGAGAAATCCTACTGCGCGTGAGTGTTTTTATTTAATACGAAAGGGAGACTCGAGATTCGCGAGTCAGGCGGCACCCTGGTTACGCTCGGCCGAGACATCGTCGTCGGACACTGAGGGGGCATTCTTTGCCCGGGCGAGAAGCGGCGTTCTTCCGCTCGCGCGATCAGAAAGCGGCGCGTCGCCCGGGACAGACATTTCGCGCAGCCGGTGTATCCAAAGTTTAACTTTNGGGGGGGGGGGGGGGGAGGGACGGCGAAGGGAGCGCCGTTCGACGTGATCGCACCATGTGTGTGAGTCTGCCCCCGGTCCACGTATTATGACTACTTGTAGAGCACGTTTGCGGTCCCTCGTTGCGAGAGCGCACGCGGAAGCTCCGCCAGCTTTTCCCCGCTCTCGCTTCTCGGCGACCTTAGCGACACATGGCGCGGGAGGACAAGATCTCCCTCTCTCTCTCTCTCTTTCCGCCGAGCTCACGGAATCTTTCGAACTCGTTCGTGCCGCGAAATACGCGGGAGGAAGGCCGCGAAAATTTCTTTTCTAATAACGCACGAGAAAAGGGAGCCGAGAAGCGGCGGGAAAGTCGACACTGTGACACGCGCCGTGTATTTCCGCTCCGCCGGGATGTTAGATTACTGCACGATCCGGGGGAGGGGGACGGTGATTCTCCTCGGGGGTTTCGCTTGTTTTACAGTTCGACGGATTTACGAGGTAAGCGACGCCAGCTGCGGATTTGGGTATCGGAACCGCTGAAAATTGCCCGTCCGGGCGATTAGCGACCGATTTCTTACTCTTTCGGCGAACGAAAACAATTCCGAGATTCCGTCGCTGCCGGTACCGCCGCTTGCGTTCCGCGTGCGAACGGACGTTTAGAGAGCGTGCGTTCGAGAGCTGATGAAAATCCAAACACCTGGAAGGGCTTCATCGGCTACGCAAATCTCGAGAAAGCGAGAGAGAGAGAGAGAGAGAGAGAGAGAGAGAGAGATGTACCCTTTAATTTTCTGCACGCGGTGACGAGGATAAGCGGGATCGACTGTAATGACCGTTAACTTACAATTAGGAGCTCGGTGAATGTCTCAACGCGCTTTCCGATGTGTGCTTAAGTAATGCAGCGGGCAATTATAAGACCGAGCCAAGGACGACCGTGGATACTATCGTAATCCCCCCGCGATGTCACCGGCGAATTAAAAATTAATACGGCTTGAGGCTGACATTTTCCACCGTAGACCCCGCTCGATAGAACGAAATTAGAACTCAAACTAGGACTGAAATTCCGACCCGGGGCGCGGTTTACGAAATTTCAACCGCAATAAAATAAAATCGTCGCGTTCCGCGCATCGGAGACGCGCGCGCGCCCCTTCGGTATCCGCGTGCCATCGCGAGAGCGCGCGGGCGGAGGAAGGGGGGAAAGTGAAGGAGCGATTTGGTGACATCAAAGTTTAATAAGCGCCATAAGCCGATCCACAAGCCGCGCGCGGTACGCGCGGCTAAAACTCGTCGGGCAATAAAAGCAGTAATAAAGCGTTCGGCCTTTCTCACGTAGCGCGCGCGCGGGTGGAAGAAGGAGCGCCGAGGGTGGCACAGAGAGAGAAAGAGAGAGAGAGAGAGGCGGTAGACTCGCTCGCTCGCTCGCACGGTGGTTAGCCAAAAGGTTAGAAGGGCGGGAACGCATTAGCGGTGGAAGGTGGCGCGCTCATAGAGACGTCCGGCCGCCCAATTACTCCCGCATTAAATCAATGTTCCTCCATCCCCTCCCCCCTCCCGCCGGCCATTCCGCCGTCCCGGTAATAAACCGTGCGGCCAACATATCTGCACGACTTACGAGCTCATCCCTCGTGTCGCTCACCCTCGTCTTGCCCGGCCCGGGGACGGTCGGAAGGAATGCGCGTTCTGTCGTAATATTTGGCTTTAAATCATGTCGCGCTGACAGGCCCCGCTTTCTCGCGTCTTCTGATTCATCCCACGGCACCGGGATGCCGCCCCCGCTCCTCCCCGCGAATTTCGCGTCTTCGGATGTCGGTAGCTTCCCTTCCCCCCTCCCTCTCCCCCTCCCGCGATCTTCCAACGTCTTCTGTCGCTCATCGCTCGTGATGGACACTTCCGATGTGGCGGATGTGATCGGAGGACGGCCGATCATGATGGAAATAATCCGCCGCTCTCCGTCTTGTCTGTCGTTTATAAATTCGCTCTTTTCGGCGGATTTACGGTTCGTGGGGATGGAAACGAAGGGGAGGGACGCGTGCGCGCGCGTACTACGGCTATACCATTCAACCGCGAGATTAGGTTCGCGCGCAATTTACGACGGCGATCTTACTCTCCTCCAGCCTCTGCTCTCGTATATAAAAGCTTTTTCCTGTAAGCTGCGACACGGGATTTGGACTTTGGGGTGGCGCCGCCACGGGGGCAGTGCGCGCCGATCGCGCACCGCGACGAATTAGGAATACCTATACAAGTATCGGCCTCGACTCGGTCGAACTCGCCGGAGAACGACGTCGTGGTTATTCGAAGTGATCGCCTGGGTCGAGATTTTAAATTCTACGTTGAGTCTCTGAGCGGAGAAAACGGGTTTCCCGCTTGTGGCACCGAAGGAGCGCGATAAGTGCTTCTTTAATGCTGCAAAAGGAATTTTGTCTTCCGGGGTCCAAATTTCAGTTCCACGTTAAGTCTTCCAAACGCACTGAGAAAAAGATTCCTTCAAACTTAAGAAATTCTGTCGCGTCCAAATAGATTTCACCATCGGCACACTCCGAAGAAACTAACGTTCCGATCAATAAGTACGATTGTTAGACTCTTCAACGAATGTGTATCTTTGTCTTAAAGTAAGAAATTTGTTTGAAGCGAAGGGTAATTTTCTTACAAAGAAATTGTTCGTCTCGTTTTACGTATTTATTGTAACCAGATAGCATTTTATTTCGTTAAAAGATATTATTTCAAGTAATTACGTTATTTCGGTTAAATAATAGAATTTTCTTGAGTGAGGCAGTAAAATGTTTGCTCAAACAAATAATATTTTGTATATGTTGTTTATGTGAGATAAATTTTAGTGAAATAAGTAGAAATACTGAATCTAAAGAAATCTTCCTCTCTGTGCAGGGTCCATCATTATTTTGGGAAATCGGACCCCACTTAGATCCCAAGAAATTTTCGTTCGCAGACTTATAACAATATAAAAAAAAAATGTAGTTAAAGCTGTCCACATAATAACTAAAACATGAAATTTAGTTCCCAAACTTAGTTTTTAACTGTGGTAGTTAGAAATTAAGTACGATGCCGAACAAAATTTGCCGAATCGGCTGAACTTCAGTATCGTGTGAACAGCTAATTTTTACCCGCGGAAGCTGGTTTTTAGCCGTGGGAGCTAATTCTTTTTCTCCAGTGAATCCCCTTCCTGAAGTCTCCATAATTCATAAACCGTCGTCTTAAAATAAGTAAAACAATAAAAATATATTTTCTGCTTGCAGGTATCGAGACGACGCGCTCTGCTGGACAGACAGGTAAGAAACCACACACACACACACACACACACATACTCGTACCGATCTTACTTATACGCACTTACGTAAATCGCGTGCGAAGCGGGAAGTTTGCGGAGGTGTACTCTAACGCTGTAAACTCGCCGACGGTAAAACGATGGACGGACGGACAGACGCATGAAGCGCGCGGACGAGAGCGATCCGGGCTAATAATAAAAAGCGACACTACGAAAAGGAGCGCCGGGTTCTCTCTCTCTCTCTCTCTCTCTCGCGAGGCAACGGCTAAGGATATAAGAGATCTCTCGCTGAGGCGAGGCGAGGTGATTGATACAGAGAGATCGACGTCGCGACGCAATTCCATTGTTCAAAGTGAGCGCGCGCGCGCGCGCTGCGGCGCGCACGCAGAAGCAACGAGCGAGGCATCGGGGGTCTGGCACGAGGTTCTTACCCACGGATATAAATCAACTCTCTCGAGTGACGAACGAACAGAGCCGGCACGAAGCCGTTTCACGGACCACCGTACGTGTACGCGTGCATGTGTGTGCGTATGTGTGTGCACCGTATGCGTGTGCACGTGCGTACGCCGGACTCACGAAAAGGACGACTCGCGAAAGCTACGTTTTGCTACTTGCCAAACGTGTTCCCCAAACAGCAAACTTTCTGCGTCTTTCTTGAAGAGAGGGAAAAAAGGAACAACGCGACTGCCCCACCCCTCTCCTCCTCCCCCGCAGAAAGGGAAAGAAGGAGAGGGAACGATTTGTTTTCCGAATGATCGCGTCCGCGCGCACCGGTGGTGCGTAATTGATAGAAACGCGCGGTGTAACGTAATTAAAGCAAAACCGGGGCGACGTCGGAGCGAACCGGACGGTGTTTACGGTGGTCCGTGTGATTTATTCGAAAACGATACACGAGAACGAACTATTATGCATAATCACGGTGCGCGAAGGAAAGTATAATTAATGACGCTGCAGCGCGCGCGGGCCGAACCGCGCGCTACTCGTGTGTATGCGTGTGCGCGTCTGTGTGTGCGTATCGCGCTGTAATTAACTATAAGCGATTTCACGCTAATTGCAAACAACAGAACGCGATTAATAATACGCGCGACATTATCGGCTCCGCTCCTATCCGCGCACGCGCGCGAGCACGCGCTCCTGCATCCTTCTCTGTCGTCGGCGGATTTACAAGACGCCACTCATAATCGTCCCCGTTGAGGAACACCGCGTCGCGTTATTTGGATACGTTTGGAATTAATGGGACATCTCTCCAGGTCGCGTCACGCATCGTTAATGACGGTTTCCTCGCGAAAGCAGCTCTTCCGCGCGGAAAATGTATTCGTTCGGCGAACGCGCAAATAATCGATAAATATTCCCGAGGGAATTATTATTAAGCGGCGCTCCAAACGATCCGAGAAGCAGCCGTTTTCGCATTTTATACGGGCGCAAATCATGTTTAAAGGGATCGTTTAAGTAGGGGGTGATTCATCAACGGGAAAAGAAGCGCTTTGAAATGAGAGAGAGAGAGAGAGAGAGAGAGAAATGCGCACAAGGGTTATCCGCTCGAAACTCGTCCGAAGCGGCTTCGATAATTATTGAAGTATCGATTAAATGCTCCGTTCGCCTTGATTGATCAGCATTTATATCGCGGGTACAACCACCTCGCCAGGTTCCCTACAATTTTCAACCGGGTACTCCGTCCTCCTCCGAGGAGCGCGTCGCGCACTTTTGAGACCGTAATATGCCTGTTTTCGTTCCTGTTAATAGCCCCCCCCCCCTCCGGTCTTCCCTCCCTCCACGAGAGAATTGTTAATTACATTATTCATGATCGCCGCTTCCCTGCAGATCAGCCGGCCGGACCTGTCGGGATCTCGATATCTGTCTTCGATACCGATCGACAGTGACTCTTGACCCCGTCCCGACGCTCCGCAGGCCGGCCGAGTGCGGTGAATAGCGCGAGAACGAACTCCCGTGTCGAAATTTCAGTCCAACATTAACCCTTTCGCTTCGAGCGCCGCTTATAAGCGGCGCGCACAGTATGTCCTGTGGGTACGAGCGCCGCTTATAAGCGGCGGCCGCGCGATGTGTCGTCTGCAGTAAGAATGACAAAAGATCCGACTCACGATACGAGTGTAAAGAGTGTGATGTTGGTTTATGCGTAGATCCGTGCTTCAGAATTTATCATACTAACTTATACTACTAATCACTTTATATTAATATATTAACTTGTTTGCGGACAATAATTAATTAAAATTTAAATCTTACTAGTAACTTTTAAGTTGTAAATATTTTCATACCAAAAATGTAAATAATAATCATTATATAGTAACAAAGATTGTTTTATTTAGCAAAATTGTTACTTAAGACCTAGGAAAACGTATATAAAGCAACAACGCATATTGTGCGTATTCGCGGCGCGCGCGCCCGTACAGAGACAGTACTTCGGCGGACTGGACATCCGAAGCGAAAGGGTTAAGTCTACTCAGTTCCACTTTAAGTCTTCAGAAAATGTTGATTGTGCTCCCTTTGATATTACGGGTGAAAAGTTACTTCCGTTTTCTCCACTCGAAGTCTCAACGCAGAATTAAAAATCTTCCTCCTCCCGGAGGTCCGAATTCCCTTCTGCAGCATCAATGGAACGTTATTAGTGCTTCTTCGATGCTATAGATGGGAAGTTATCTCCGCACTGGGAAAGATTTCTTGAAATTTCATCAATTTTATAGCTAATTTCCGAGCAAACATCATCATCGACGTGCACCGAAGGAATTAAGGTTCCGATTAATAAAGACGATTGTTAGACTTTTTAATACGTACCTTTCTCTTAGATAAAAAAAATTTGTTTGATACGAAGGACAATCTTCTTATGGGGAAATTATTTGTCTCGTTTTACATATTTATTGTGATCGAACGATACTTTATTCGGTTGAAAGATATTATTTCAAACAGCGTTCATTCTGCCGAACGATCGAGTTTTCTTAAACGAGACATAAAATGTTCACTCGAGCAAATCAGATTTAACGTAGTATTTACAATTTCCCCGGGTGGTCTAAATCCCCTTTGTCGCGTTATTAGTGCTTCTCCTACTGTAACTATAAGTTACTCTCGTTTCCCACTCTCAGACTTAACGAGGAACGAAGTAGACTCGACGATGAAGGATCGAAATTCCGACTCGCCGGGTCGCTGGATCGTCGTCGGCCGGAAATCGCCGAGCCGACCGGGGATTTTCGGCCGGCGGGCTCGAGTCGAATTCGCACTTGGTGCTTCGCGACTCGGTGTAACTCCGGTTGGACACGCGGTTTGCGGCGGATCCGCCGCCGAGCAGGAGTCCCCACGGAGGCGGCCTCGCGGCCGCGACTATTTTTTTGCCGATTTAACTGGATGTCGTTACTACGGTCGCGGGCATTGTTGTCGGCCGGGTTCGTTCGTTCATCGGTTTTATCCTTACTCTCTCTCCGGCCGGGAGAGACTCTCGCCCTCCTCCTCCTCTCACATTGCCCGTTCGAGCCGCCGATCCGATCCTATATTTATTGTATCGAGGAGACCAGAGCCGCCGCATTCCTCGCGCATGCGCCGCCCGTAATGAGCGGTCTCCAGTCCTGTCTGTCTTTCCGTCCGTCTGTCCAGAGGACCGGTCGACCGGTCGCCTTCCATACCCCCTACTCGCGGTCCCTTCTGGATCTCCCTCCCCCTCCTACCCCTTTGCTCTCTTCCTCTCTCCACCGTCGCCCGCTATCCCTTTGCTCGCTTAGCCCCCTCGCTATTCGATCTCGTCGACTGGGACGTTCCCGGGCGCCCAGATTGCCGCACCGGGATTGTCGCACCATTCTTGCACCCAAATTTAAATCGCCTCAACGTCGAAGCGTCCCTCATCGAGACTCGGCTCCGGTAACGCGAACGTCTCCTCTCACCGTTGCGACGGTACTCGAGGATACGCTGTGAGGCGGCTCGTTGTCCTCGTGTTACGGATGAGCGGATTTCAAGTATCGTCCTCGTCGACGACACGCCGATCGGTTTTCCAGCCGATCGAGGTAACGTCGAGGCGGACGGGGAGGAGGACACCTCAGTCACCGGCTGACTCCTCGCGGCCTTCTCCGAGGCGCAGCAACACCTCTAACCGTATCGCATCACCGATACGATAGAAACCCATTAAACCCGGATTCGAGGGACGACGACGTCGTCATTCCGCTTACTTGGATAGTTGTCATACGCACGCTACTATTAAAACCGAGGTGCAAAAAGCAACGAGTCACATTTTGCCTCGTCGCCTTAAGCAGTAACTCGACCGGCCGAGGCTCAGCCTTGCCGCCACAGCTGCACCACGTCGACCACTTTACGCAAGATCGTTTCTTATCTCCGTCTCTCTTTCTTTCTTTCCCTCTCTCTCTCGCTCTCTCTTCTCCGGAGATATGAATCGAGGCCCGATAAGAACCGTCTTAAGGCCGTCGACGAGACACGGGGAGAACTCTCGCGATTCTCCCGTTTTCGGGAAAGAGTATATGCTCTCGCCGAATTTTCCTTCGTGTCCCGAGAGCGGGAGAGGACGGAGGGTCGTGTCGTTTCCTCGCTGGGAAAGAGGAGAAAACACAGCGAGTCGGAAGGATCGAGGGAGGACACGTGGCCGAAATGATGAGGCGCGCGCGGACAAAGCGGGCTTTTGCCCGTCGCGAAATCGATCGATCGCGGGACGAGAAGAAGGACGCCGATGCGGAAAGAAGGATGAAGTAGGCGAACGGGGCGGGCGCGTTCTCGGTGTAAAGAGGAGAGGAGCTGTGATGTTTTATGCCGAATTAAACGACGCTATCTCGTCCACCGGGCACCGTTCGCCGCCGCCCCGTGGAAGACCAGTCTTCGTTCCACTGCCATTTTCGGAAAACCGCATTTTACACTGACTTAAGCTGAGAAAAAGCGTGTATAATTGTGCACAATGCGGCAGATAGCCCGGCAAAAATCAACCGTCGTTTAATAGCGCCAAGCGTGCGCGCGAGCGAGCGAGCGAGCGAACTTTGGAGTTACGGGACGGGGGGTAGGGGGGAAGGATGACAGAGTGGCCGAAAAACAAGCGATGCGCGATCGTCCGTGGATTCTAATGCCGCGACTAAGCTAACGCGTGAAAAACAACACGGCGGATTTGCCGGCGGGCGGACGCGACGGGGCGACGTCTAGCGTGGCCGCGCGCCGGCGGGAACGCTTTGAGCGGATCCGATACCTATTAAGATCGTAGAAAACGGATCTGCCTCGAAGTTGCCTAGTCAGGTACGATCCTTCCCGCCGATTCGCCACGCATTTTTAGCGCTAGCGGTACAAAACGCTCCGAGTTAGTCGCGCCGCATACCCAGCTACGCGCCAGATACATCGAATTACATCACTGGTGCGCGTCCGTCGAGCGCGAGATTGGAAAACGAGAACGGGAGAACCGAGACAGTGAGGATTGCACGTCGGGGAAATAATAGAAGAAAAACACGGCCTCGCGCATAATTCGCGCGTTCAACCCCTTCCGGACGGGCGGAATGCGCTCTCGCGTTGTAAAGCCTACGTTTTCTCCCGTCTCTCCTTTTCATTCGGCTGTTAAATCGTCAAAGTTACGAGGCTTGTCTTCGTCGCGCGTTTATCGGTATGATAAAACTTGAGTCGGGAAGTAAAAGTCTATGTCGGGGGAGTTAATTGATTAATCAATTCTGGCTTATCAATCGGGCCGACTGTGACGCGGATTCGGCTGAATTCACAGTATCTGATCTAGATGGTCGTCAGGGCAGTCAAGACAGGTTTTCGATGCTTAATGCCAAGCATGGTGGTGACAGACACTGTAAACACTCCGGTACGAAGGCATCGGAGAATATTTTGATGGAGGATTGACGGACGTTCACTTGTCATCGTCTAGACGTGCAGTCCGAATCCAGTCTTAATCCTCGCAAGGAAAGGTGGGGGGTCATTCATAATTCCGGCAAGACGGTTCATATATTTATTATATTACGATATTATTTTGGAAAAATATGTTCTCGCTTATTATTCCAAATGATCGCGTGTCATTTTCTCGTTTCAATCAAACAATGCATATTCATATATTTGAGTTATTCACAACCCCACCATTCTGTTCACGTCTTACCACTCTACTTTTTCTTGCTGCTACAGTGTTAACCCTGAAAGGTGTTAACACCCGTGATCCTGACTCTAAAATAACACCCACAGGTCCTTCAGACCTGCATCACGAAAAAGACGATAAAAACGTGACTTTATGCATTTCTTCGAATAACTCGCACTTATTAAGTTTATCCGCCACTCTTTCTTTTTTAATTATTTTTCTAGACTGGATGCCGGCGGGAAACCAATTGTCTCATTAGATCAGTCTTATAATAGCGTGGTGTGGTCGCATTAAGCAAACTTCTTCGGAGTAACAGAAGAGCCGAAATAAATTCTTGCACAAAACGTGGGAGAGGAGGGGATAAGCGAAACGTGTGTAGGCCTCGCAGGCCTAACATGTTACCGTCAGTGTTAATCGGCCCCGAAAGGCAGTTTGCTCCGCGACGCGTCGCAGCGATGCGATCTACAGCGCGAGAGTCCACGGAGGCACGTTAAACCGCAAGTATCTCTTTATATCAGCCCCGTGAATACCGGTGTAGCTTTTCGACTTACTTACGTCATCGCGTCTCGGCATCGAGACTCGTGCGTGCTTCTCGTATCGAGCGACGAGAGAGAAGACGAAGAGCGGACGAACACGCGCTCGAGGGAGAGGGAAAAAGAGAGAAAGAGAGAGAGAGAGAGAGAGAGAGCGCGCGAGAGGGAAGTCAGAACGATACGTCGGTACGCACGCGTGTACTTTGTGGTCACCCGTGGGGCTCTCCTCCCATTCAACCGGTGGCTCGACTCGCCCACTCGTTCGTTCATTCATACGCGGGGAACGCGATTTGAATCGATAAGCAAAACTCGGAAGCGTATCTTTCCCGCCGCCTTCGGACCCGTTCTTGACCTCTGCCGCGCTGAAAATCTCCTTCGTTATCCCACCCTCCCCCTTCACCCCCTCTTATTTTTGTTTATTCGTGACTTGAAATTTCCAATTCCCCGCTTACTGACAGGAAGATCAATTTTTGTGTGAAAAGTGTCAATATTGTCTGCAAAAATCACGGCTGAAACGAGCGATTTGACACCTCGGAAGGTTGCGGAGGTAAAAGCGCTGATTGACACTGAAAATTATTCTAATCGTGTAAACGTGAAATTAGCAGCTTTCCTTCGCTTCCTGATCTGTATTCTATTAAAAAAAAAAATACGAACTTTGGATTACAGATCGCAATCGGTGCGGAGTCTGGCGCGTTTGTTTCTCTTCACGCAAAATGGAGAAACGCTTCGATACGTCGCGAGGGTATAATCCCATTAGGCTTTAATCGATGATCCCCTCCACCGTTCGGGCGCAGCGTTAGGGTCGACTTAGGGATAAGGTTGCGGCGTGAAAATAGATACACAAGCTACCGCGGAGATACGCCGTTTTATTGCCGTCGCGGGGTTCCAAGTCTCGCGATCGGTCAAATGAAGACAGAGCGCTGCCGCGCGTTTCATTCCGCCGTGGCGACGCGACCGTCATGAAACACGGAGATTTAGGTTTTCATTCGTGCTGCATTTACTGCTGTACTTACCATTATAGTTGTGCCACTGAATTCATGATTTTCTTGAATTTCGTTCTTCGAAGTCCTATTGATATTTCCGGTGAGAAAATGGTCAAACGACTATTAAAGCTCTCTTAGAACCCAGTTATTTGCGGTTAAAATCAAAAGAGGGTGCAGTTGAGGCCGAAAATAGCCATAATTTCTATCGGTGTATCCGATCGTATCAGTGAAGCACCTTTCACCGATTTGCAATGCCCGAGTCGAGATTTCAATTCTACATTAAGTCTATTTAGTTCTACGTCAAGTCTCCAGAGGTCTTCCATTCGGCGCTCCCTTTGATGCTACAAATTGGAAGTTACTTCCGTTCGCTTCGCATGAAAATTTCACGCAGAACCAAATCAAGTACGCTTGATGTAGAATCAATATTTCGACTCGGGTGAATACACTCAGGTTTGCTTAGGTCCTCCCGTGGTCTTGGGTCTTTCGAATTTCGGCCGGTGAAAGTGAGATCTCACTGCAAAATCCGTAGTGACGATAACTGAATTCCTTCAGCGAGATTTTACCGATCGCAATGCGCCATACTTACTAGACTGATTTCACCGTTTTCTTTTCGCGATTATACACGCTGATTCCACTTTAGAGAGAGAGAGAGAGAGAGAGAGAGAGCTCTCGTGGAATAAGTAAGAAAAAGGACGAATTAATCCGTTCGGTGTCTCGCGAAACGCGGCGAGCGCTACGTTCGAGAAGAGAGAAGGGCACGCGCAGCAAAGATCACCGATTGGGGTGGGGATGACGTTTTAGGGATGACGGGGGTGGAACCCTCGAAGCGAGCACGAGGCCAACACACGCGCCTCCGCCCGATGACGTTTATGCACGCGTTCTCAGGAGCGACCGTCGCGCTGCTCTTTCTCCGACACTCTCCGTCGGCTCTCCCTCTCGTTCGGGAG